GTTAGAAGGCTCGTCCATCGAGCTGCATCACCAGGTAATGTAAACGAAGCTCCCCTCATGGCCGATGAGAGAGAGTCTCGCGATATTTCAGGCGAGTTTGTGGTTTCAGAGCGTAGTAGCCAGATCGCACAGAGACAGGGACCATTGTGAGCACTCAATGAACGGAGGCGGAAGTTGTGTAAAACACATGCATTTATTCCTAACTAACACTATAACTAACATAAGACAGACATTACACTTAACACAAACAACAAACACGAAATAACGGAATAGAAACAAAGAATGTAATTATGGAAATGCAATGACCGGATTTAAATGGGTAATCTTAAAAGGGAAATACTGGTCTGCAAAGCCAGCACAGTTTGTGGAAACATGACCCTAAAGTCATATAGCAGGTTAACAGCACAGCTTAGGTTGTTAGAATAAAAGGAAGTTGGTTTACTTGGTGCAGAGTGGGGGGGGGGGGTCTTGGCAGTTGGTTGCAGAGCCTGATGAGCTGATGGGATGATGGCACTCAGGAAGGCGCAGCGTTTGGAGCAGTTATTGGAATGGAGCCCCTTGGATTCTCTCTCCTTGTGAATCTTTAAGGTGAAAGGCTTTGTCTTGGTTGCAGTTCTCTGTTGGGTCGCAAGCCTTCACCGGCAGGCTTCAGGAGGGCTTCTTGCGGGATTCTCTTCTCCTGGGCTGATGTTCTCCGCCTCTCTTCGGGCTGATGTTCTTTCTGCTCCTCCCCTGGCTTTGTTCTGAGGTGCCAGGTTTTATAGTCTAAAGTTCATGAATAGGGATGACCAGGAATTCGACTCCTGGACCAATGGCTGACCATCCATTTGGCGGGCTTTCAGAGGGGGTCTGTATCAGTCCTTTTGGGATTTATGACCAGACTGATTCCCCTTTACTGATGATTTTCATTAAGCTGGTGTCACTTTTGATACATACACTTTCATGGTAACCACTGACCACTCCTTGGAATCAGGAGTGATTTTCCAACAGTTTGATATCAAACACGCCATACCATAGTTTTACTGTTAATACTTATGGTCAGGCATTGTACAGTAATACCACTGCATGTCGTACTTTGTATGTGACAAATAAAAGTTGAATTTGATTGCATTGTGGCCATGGTAAATAAATATAACCAACAAATGTTCCCTTTTTGCAGATCGCAGGGCCATCCACGACACAGGAGGATGAGGAAACAATTTCTGTTTGCTCAGAAATGCTAGCCGTATGAACTTGAAACTATTTTGCAGCGAATAATAACATTTGTCTTTTCCCTATAAACCCATGCAGTATTTGCTGTGTACAGGAGTCTGAAGAACCAGGTGGGCAATGTTCTCAGGCCTCATCAGCATAGCCCGCATGTACTCAGACAGTCAAAGGAAGAAGTAAGTAATAAACTGTTTAATGTAATTAATAAGAATGAATGAATAATTCTTATTTGTTCCTTCTAATGAGACAGATATCTGTGCTATTTACAAGAGGTATTTGATCCAGGAAATAGAAGTCCGAAAAGCAGACCTTGAATATACACAACTGAAAATAAAAAAACTGAAGCTTGAAATGAAAAAATTGGAGAGAGATGTAAGTGGTTAACATCACTTTAATGTCTACATTCAGTGTTCACTGTTGTAAATGCTTCCCCCTTTCCCCCAACAGGATATGAAAGATTAAATAAAAATATGAAGAAATATCTCTAATTGTTCTTTCTTGGAAAAAAAATACATAAATGAAATTTCCAACAGAATCAACCGAAATATGTGTTTGTGTACACATCTCTCACAGCTCTACCATCCATGTGGTCTTCCACTGCTAGGCCCTCTTCCCATTGCTCATCCTGCATCAATATTGGCATACGCTCCTGCTGCAGTATTGCCACATTATGCAAAACTGCACAGGCTACTACAATGTCACACGCTCTGTCCGGTGTAACTCTGAGATGCCGCAGGCAGTTAAACCTGGATTTTAACTGTCCAAATGTTATTTCGATGCGTGCCCTTGTCTTACAATGGGCATGGTTGAAATGTATTTCTGCTTGTTGCAGGATCTGTATGGTGCGAGAAGAGAGGGTAGACATGGGTATCCTCTGTCACCAAGCAATAGACGAGGAAACATTCCTATAATAGAATGAACATAGACACATTAGACTGTAGTATAATAAACTATAGTATATTTGTGAATTTTAGTTGACTTGCCTTGTCTGAGGCTCTGAGCCAGTGAAGACTCACGAAAAATTCTGGCATCATGTACCGACCCTGACCATTTTGCCACAATGTTTGAAATGAGATGTTCAGCAGCGCATACCATCTGAAACATTTTTGCAAATGCAAAATGCAAGAACATGGTAGATGATGGTCTTTGCTTCCTGTGGGCGATCTGGTGTGACGTAAATTGCAACCCTCCTATAGAATAATGAAGATATTATAAAGCCATACATACTTAAGGTGCTCAATTACTTAATACACATTTATTTACAGGCATTCAAATGAAACACCTGATATTAAATATGGCCAAAGCCTCTATTCAGGCCATAGTGCTTGGACTCTGATAACTGCAGCCTGCTGCTATATTACTGTGTTGTCAGCATGATGGAGCTGTTTTACATGCAATGTCTGAAAAAGCATCCAGAAGTTATATATAAGGCAATAAACAATGTACATGAAATATGTAAATCAAAATGTAAAGCTCTGATGCGCAAACTGGAGAAGGGGATCGGATTGTATGCATCGTCGTACTTACAGAATTATGAAGGTCGGTTAATAGTTTTAGCTTTATTATGTCATATAACATGTTATGCTATACATTATAGCCCAGTTTCCCAAAACGTTCGTAGGGCTAAGATCATCATAACTAAGAGAGAAAATTCAAACTGATAGTGTCTCATCCGTCTTGCAATGGTCTTAGGACTGCAATGCTTTTGGGAAACTGGACCCTAGGATTCAGTATATGGCCTTTGCAGCTGTAGAAAGGTCTGCTTCTCCAGCCTGCTCTCAACCATACTGACTTCTGACAGGAACTCTCTCCTTCTAATGCTGAGATGTGGGAGTGTGTCCCTCAGCCTGAGAATCCATACAGTGACTCTGTTCACTCGATGCCAATCTAATGTCACCAGGCAAGGAGACACTGGAGACAGTTGGTGCACAGAGGGACCCAAGAATGGGCAAGTTTATTGTGGAACATTAGGAAACAGTATACCACAGTACACCACAGTATACCACAGTATACCACAAGGGGGCCTGTGATGAGGTGGTGACCCACTCAGGGTGGTCACACCCCTGCTTGCCGGTCAATCTCCATTCTCCACCTGCAAAAACACATGCGCACCTGCATGCGTGTTTCTCGTCTTCCATGGCTTTTCATTCCAGCCAATCTCAGTCCCAGTTATAGAGGCACATTTATTGCCCAATTCTAGCCCACACTTATTAAAATATTTATTTTTTCAGTTTTTTTTTCCCGTCAAAATTGTCAGCACATTATGTTAAAAGACTGTAACCGCCCCCAGACTGGAGTCAAAATCACTCCAATCAATACAATTGTATCCCATAAGCACTTGTGCTGGTCAGCGGTGAGGAAACCATAGTTATATCGGTACTAGGTGGTACTGATCAGTAGCCTTCCAACAAGTTTGTTATATCATATGGTACCGCACCCCCCCGCCCCCATCCTGACTGGCTTTCAGCATGGTGAGTGGTACAGCATCACCCTGACTGGTGTTCAGCTTGGTGACTAGTCTGGTGGGGTACCATCACACCATTTACAGAGGAAACACTCAGATCAAGAGCTGGGAGGATTCACAGTATATTCACTAAATGTCCTGAAACTTTTAAACTTAATCTAACAGCGAACACCCTGAATCTCTATAGATACAGTATATCTCAATGAAAACCTTACATGAAACCATATGAAGTTCATAAGACCCAAAAACATGATGCAAGACCCAGAAAGTCATGCCTCCACCTTGACTGCTTGCTTTTCTGAGTGAAGACCTGCCATTGAAATTCAAAGAGAAGAACAGAGTAATTACAGGAATCATCAAATGCTAGTATGAGCGTAATATAGCCATAGACCAATAAAAACAGTGAGGATTTATTCAGAATAATTACAGATAATTATAATGTATATTTTAATATTGTAATGAATACAACAAATGTGAGAGAATCATATACAAATACTTCCAGTATGTCTCTCTATAGACAGACTGTTCCTGGACAAGCTGGCAAGCAGATTCGGTGACATGAGGGGCTGCAGGCCGCCTCATTCACACAAGTGGGCCTCCTCAAAACAAAGGTTCATCTGCTACCCAACCAAGTCTCTCAAGTCAAACACAATAAACTGTAACAGATCACTGATAATCTGGTGACTGATTATCTCGCTGGCCTGATTATTCAACAGACCATGGCACCTTCAAATAGAAAACTGTAATTAGGATTTCAGTGCTCCTCTCCCTATAATCAGGGAACAGCAGAAGGCAAAGCTCTATCATAACGATAATGCTTGTCACACATTAAAATGTATGTCAGGAAAGACCAGTATCATAAATGCAGGGATACAATTTATAGTCCTCTGGCATAAAAATCAAGCACAAACCTCACATATAAATGACCTTATCCTTACCTAAACCCAGCCCCAAACATGCTAAACTGCTGTATAGTTGTATAAAATCTGCATAGATTCTTCTAATTAAACATGTATAAATGCCTGATATGCATATTTACCTCCTCTGGGTTTGGTTCATTGTGAAGGTGAAGATGCCTGCATATCCTGATTGTCATGTGATCTCTGTAAAAAGTGACTGTCAGTTCATACATTTCATGAATTGACTATTCATACTGATAGTTTTTGTCAAAAAATAATGTAGAGGCCATGAAGTGGTATTTACCCTTCAGTTTACATGACTAATTCTAAAGTAGCTAAACATTAAAATAATGTTAACATCCTAGCAATTGGATCACTAAATCGATACATTCCATACTGTCTAATGTAGTGACAATGACAGCCTTGCCTTAAGAACCAGAAAGATAATATTTCATTAACTGCTCTGTATTCGATCCATTGGAATGAACAGGTGAACAGCCGTCTATCTTGTGACTGTCATGTGATCTCTACAAAAGTATTAGCGTTAGCTCATAAATCAGATAAATCATATTTTCAGATTCCATTAAACAAGCAGCAGTCACTGTGAAGTGGTAACTTACTTTTTGGTTTACAGAAGGGCGTCAGGACTATAGAATTAGAATTTAGTGATCAGTGGTCATTGTCAACACACCACAGCACACAGTGCGCAACAACGAAATGTGACCTCTGCATTTGACCCATATGTGACTTTCGTGACATAGCAGGGGGCAGCTAATTCAGCGCCCAGGGAGCAGTGGTTGGGGACGGTACCTTGCTCAGGGTACCTCAGTGGTGACTTGCTGGTGGGGGATTCGAACCTGCAATCTTTCAATTACAAGTGCGCTACCCTAACCATCAAGCCACCACTGCCCACATATAGTCACCATGTGAATGCAATAATTTACAGTCCTCTGGCACAAAAATCAAACAGTATTTTGATCATGAACAAACATCATATATAAATGTCCTTTCTTTCTGTCCATATCCCTACGAAACTCAACCCAAAACTGGTTAACTAACATTTTTTGCTAATACTGGCCCCTAGTGCATATTCACCTGCTCTGCATTTGGTCTATCGGGATCAGGGGGTGACAAGGCATTCATCTCCTGATTGTCACATGATCTCTGCAAAAGGGATTCAGTTGATTAATGGAACCAGTGAGTTTGAAATTTAACATCTGACACTGACCATGAAGTGGTATTTAACTTTCAGTTTACATGACTAGTTTTAATGTAACCAAACATGCAAACGACCAGCCAGCAGTCTTCAACCAGAGGCGGATTTGTTGTTTCAAAAAGTCACTTTAGCACTGTTATATGTCAATGACTTAATAATCAGCTAGAAAGTAGAGTCAAAAGATTGTCGCTAGCTAGCTGGTTATCAGAAAATACTGCTTCAGCATCTCCTAAACAAGAAATGAGTTTAATATTGAATGCAGTGACTTTGTGGCCAACAGCGGGCGTCGGTGACCCATGTAAATGCATGTTGGAGAACATGTCTACATGTCCACTGTCTACAACCAAACAACTATAAATACAAAGTCAAACACTTAAACTGAAAGTCTTCACAACATTCATGCATGGGCAATGTAAGAAATTAGCTTCCTTCCTGACAGATTTCAATAGATGTCTGATATAATGACCAAGTTGATATGTCCGCAATCCCTAACATGTTCAACGACACGCGAATATGAATGTTGTCCATGGACAGCACTAAATGTCTCATACTTTGCTGTGTATATAGTCTGTGTATTTGTGTATGTTTGTCTGCGTAGAGAGAGGTACATGGGAGGGAGGGGGGGTTGAGGCTGCCTGAGCATCTGCCCCTTTTTCCTCAAAGGACTGAAATGGCCCCCCTTTGATGTTCTAAGTGCCGTTTTCCATTAAGATTTCTCTGCACGTCACTGTAGGTATGTAGGTATAGGTTGAAAATCTGTGGGGGTACATGACTGTAAAAAGTTGACTTTTGACAGAGTACACCAATTCCTTGTAAACAAACAAGAAATATCGGTGAACAAGTGACTTTATCTTGCTTTATGGCTGAGCTCAACTTCTGAATGGTTAAACATGGTTAATCACTCTCCTTCTGAGACAGACATACATATATAGATACAGTTGAGAGAAAAACTTGGGCTCTGAGTGCCAGGTCAGGCCATTTGTCTGGATCCGCTGGAGCACTTTGTGTGACCAGACCACCAGATCTGCGCCTGTTCTTTGCTGTGCCACCACTGACTAGGACTTGGGCTACGTGACACGATTAAATTCTCCCATGATAAATTTCACTGAACGAAAATAATGCAGTATGACAAAAATATTACCATAACACTGCTCAAGCCAACCATACACCTCTCCAAAAAAGTCCTCAAAGCCCAGGTTTAATTAAATTCACCCACAATAAATTTATCTGAGGTCCCCACCATGAGTGTTACTAATTGGCAACTGGACTGCTACATAAAAAAAATGCTGATTGGGGGGCTGGCAATGAAAAAAATGTATAAACTTTATTTTAGAATATTTAGAAAATCACATTGTGCCCCACATTTTAAGAATCACTGACTTGTACAATGATCATGGGAACTTTCCAAAAAGATCCACGGAATACGCTTAGATGGCAGATTGCTGTGTTCACAAGATGTCAGCGGCAACCTCCCTTCCCAACCTCTGCTGCCACCTATTGCTGCTGTTTCAATTTTGGGGTGATTTGTCTCAAAATTTAATCAGCTGCAGTGTGTCACCCATACTGTACAATTCCTCTGAAAAGTTTGGAAAAGTTCGGTAAAAATTCTTTCCAAATTATCCACTTAATGAGAAAGTGTTTGTGGTGGACCGGTCCCAAAACCATAATATGAACAAAAAGATGTTGAGAAACAGGTCCCAGGACACCAACCAGAGGGTCAGATGCATCTTGGGCACCTACCTGATCCAGCTTGGTATCTTGGTATCTCCTAACCAAGCCCATTCCTTCTTTTATTCTAAAGAAAAGATATTACAGTTATTACAACAGAGGTTTTCCAATAAAAGCTTAAATTTTCAATTTAAATTAAAGTCAATTTTCATGTGTACCATGCTGATTCCCAATATTATCTTACATTTAGGTCATCAAGAGTATAAGAGTATGGTTCCCACACAAGAACCGGATTATAAAGATGAACTGGAATGAAACTGCAGAATATTTCAATAACACACGAGGCTCTATTTTGATGATCTAATGCAAAGTGAAAAGTGCGACTAACTGTTATGGGCATGTTCAAATGCATTTCGGCATTTAGATAGTGGAAAAACAGACGTGGCACCAGCGCAAGGTGTAAAAACGATGTCCGAATTCTCCTAAGTTTTCAGAGGTGTGTTTTGGGCATAACAAGCAATAAACCAATCAGAATGGCACGTGACCTCACCTTTAAAAGGCAGCGGCTCTTGATCTAGGGGATTGCTATTACAATGGTTGTGTTTGACCAGCAAGCCAGATCGCTTTTTGCCTGAGGTGGTAGCAGCAAGTGTCTTCTCATAAACTTTTGCTTTCCGCTCTGACGACTCTTGATGTCACGCGCTCCTAACTGGGGCCCAGCAGTGTTTTGGCCCCGGAAAATTGAGCTCCGGCCAGGATATATATAAATAAAACACCAGCACCTCACACCTCCCAGTTTGGGCTCTGTGTAGTTTACGTGGTGACTCAGTGGGTAACACTGGCACCTCACACCTCCCGGCTTGGGCTCTGTGTAGTTTACGTGGTGACTCAGTGGGTAACACTGGCACCTCACACCCCCCGGCTTGGGCTCTGTGTAGTTTGCGTGGTCACTCGGTGGGTAACACTGGCACCTCACACCTCCCGGCTTGGGCTCTGTGTAGTTTACGTGGTGACTCAGTGGGTAACACTGGCACCTCACACCCCCCGGCTTGGGCTCTGTGTAGTTTGCGTGGTCACTCGGTGGGTAACACTGGCACCTCACACCTCCCGGCTTGGGCTCTGTGTAGTTTACGTGGTGACTCAGTGGGTAACACTGGCACCTCACACCCCCCGGCTTGGGCTCTGTGTAGTTTG